GTCATTTTTCGCTGGAAGATCTCTGGCGCCGAAGTAATACCAAAGGGAACGCGACAGAATGCATACCTCCCAAACGGCGTCATGAATGTTGTGAGCAGTTGGCTTTTTTTCATCCAAGGGGATCTGCCAAAATCCACTTGCTGCATCCAGCTTGGTAAAGTAGTTGGACTGAGCCAACTTAGGAGCGATGTCGCTTAGATTCGGAAGTGATGTGCTCTGCAAACAGCCCTATTCAGTCTTTTTAGGTCAACACAAATGCGCAGTTTACCATTTTTCTTCTGAACCGGAACCATAGCTGCACACCATTCGGTGGGCCCAGTGACAGGACGGATCACTCCACTATCCTGCATTCTCCGTATTTCTGTTTTTACCGCATCAATCAGGGGAAACGAAACTTTTCGTGCGGTGGTGACACACAGTGGTGTTACACCTGCTGTCAAACTGATCTTGACTGGTCCGGTCTTTAAGTGACCAATATCTGAGTTGAACTGACTCAAGATTTCATCTACATGGGTAACTAGGCCCATTTTCTTTGCGACTCCGAGGGCTAGCAGGCTGACTGGTCCTGTTCCATCTATCACGACTACGCGAAATGTATAGCCTTTCCCCTTGTGAGTGATGACAGCTGTAAGTGCACCTAGCTAGAACCTTGAGCTGGCCCCCAGGACTGTTGAGCTTGACCTTGTTGTGCATCAGGTGTGGGTGACTTTTCAATGATCGCCAGATGGTGTGTGAAATTACTGTTACGTCCGCTCCCGTGTCTATTTTAAATTTTACAGTTGAGCCGCATATGTTTAGTGGTACATACCACGCTTCATCCTCCTCATGGCAATCAATTGTTCCAAGGTAGAATATGATTCCTCCCTCTCGGACGTATCCTGAGATGTCACTGCGTCTGTTGCCCCATTTAAATTTCCACCTCGGTGTTTACCATTCAAGTCCGACCGTACCATCCCCAGAGACAAGTCCAGTCTACAAGAACACACTTCAAGTCTACAAATACTACCGTTTCGGAAGCTGGGAAAATGTGGTGAGAATCTTCTGTACGAACACATACAAGATATAGTTGCCGAAGATGCAAGACGACATCTTGATTTACTTTGGAAGATCTCGTATCCACACAGATTAAGACCTGTCTGGTCGGGCTTCATGCAAGCAGTAACACACGGACAGCACCAAGGGAAGGCGTTTTTCCATTTCCTTCTAATGATAGATCTAGACCCTACCGACATGAGCTGCATGTATTCAACACTAACGTTTGTGAACAATCAATGTATGAAGTACAACGTCCAGCCGATAGTAACGTTTGACCAGCCTCTCTGGATGAAGGCCAAACTGATCATCAGCCAAGAAGAAGAGATGAGCAATGCCATCCTTATACTTAGAGCCTTCCATACGTACACTGATGTCGTTTCTCGGAAGCATTAGCCATTTCATGAAGTCGAGTGGTTTCTCAACCTTGCTCGAGTTAGCCTTTGCGGTAACACAGTCACACATATGCTCAGCGGGAAGGCGTATGCAAGAACAGTCAGGGGCCACTTTGGTGGATGGCGCTCTTAACGCAGTCCTTTTGAAGAAGATATCAAAAGAAGAAGCCAACGAACAGGTAGTGGCCCATGCTCTACAGATGTTTGACGAGGTTTTCGGCGATGAAACACATGTATCTGAAACAAATGATGATATTATCCAAGCACTCGATCAGCTTTTCCAGAAAGCAAAGCTTGACATATCTGCAACACCAACAGGGAAGTTATTGAACAGAACAATTGATCTTC